GTTTTTGTTTTTGTTTTTTTCCTTTAGCGGATGGTATAGCTGAACTGGGATTTGGAGTAGGGACCAGGGAGACTGGGCAGGCCTCTATCATTTCCAAAAAAGTCTAGGGCCCTCAGACTCAGGATTTAGGCCCACATTACTTTCCCTGAGGAGGTTTCCAGAACTTTCCTGGCTGGTTGGTGGAAAGCCCTGATGGGACCCAGCGGCAGCCTCTCCCCTGCCCCAGCCCCAGCTCCAGGTGGGGTCTCTGGGCCTCTCAGTCTCCCAGACCTGGAAACCTGTCTCCTGGCCCAAGCACCGATGACCAAGCTAGGGACCTAGATGGCTGAGAGGGGCTGCTGGTAAGCACCCTGTTTTCCCTTTCCTATACCCCAGATCTATGGAGAATGGTCTAGGATGTGCCTGGTGATGGCAGAGGCAGGCCCCCAGAGAAAAGACGAGTGGAAGGGCACTGGAGTAGGGGAAACATTTATTTGACTTCAAGGAAAGCTACAAACAAATACCAAAAGCGAATCACTGAGACAGGCCCGGCAAAGACAGATTTCACAGCATCCACTCGCTCACTACAAATGGTCTTGGAAGGAAATGGATAAGGGGGAGGGGATGGGTCTGACCCAGACTGTCCCCCTATTTACAAGCTTTGGGCCCTCTAAGCCAAACCCATGGATTCACAGAGAAACACACAAGACATTTTACACTGAGGATTATTTTTGTTTCCGTTCACTCCCAGACAAGGCCTTGTGGGGCCTACTCAGGCAGCAGGAACTTAAATCTCACTATTTTCCTTTCCTCTTCTCAACATCATCCCTTTGGTCCTCCCTCACCCTTTCCCACCCCAGGCCCAAGTCACTGTGAGACTTGGGTCTGGGGAGTGGGAAGGAAGGAGGAAGACGAGGGAGAAAAGAGACACAATCAACACACAGTCATGGACTCCATCTACTCCGAGCGAGACCAGCTCAGCTGGGCCCGGCTTTGCGGCACTACCTCACCTCAACTGCTACCCCTTAGAGAAGTTTCCAGCTGAAACTCAAAATACAGCCATCATTCTTTTATAAATAAGTTAGCACACAGATGGGGAGGGGAAAGTTCACATTAAACATGCGAGTGTCTTTTTTTTTTTTCCTGGGGAAAGGAGTGCAACCACAGACACAACATTCGGAAACACTGGCGCATTTGGGGTGAGCTGGGAGGTGTAAGGAGCATGGAGGGAAATAATAATTATTATAATTATTATTATTAACAATAATAACAAGATTAACCAGTCCAGGAAGAGAAGGAGACACAAGAAGACCTAAGACCAAACGAAAAATTTTAACACAGGGCCAGGGCGAGGCAGGCTCATGGGAACCGGTCCCCAGCGGGCGTCGGCAGCGCAGGAAGGCTGGAGGGGCCGGGGCTGGGGGCGGTGCGACTCTTCGCCCGCCCAGGGCTCCTCTGGGCAGGCTCAGGGCTGGAAAGCGCTGCCGGCAGTCGCTAGGCTCATACTTTTCAGTTTGTTGTCTTTCTTCCACTTCATGCGTCGGTTCTGGAACCAGATCTTGATCTGGCGCTCGGACAGGCAGAGCGCGTGGGCGATCTCGATGCGCCGCCGCCGGGTCAGGTAGCGGTTGAAGTGGAACTCCTTCTCCAGCTCCAGGGTCTGGTAGCGGGTGTATGCAGTCCGGGCCCTTTTCCCATCTGGTCCAGTCATATCTAGAGCAGACAGAGTACAACCAAGAGGCAATGTTATTCTGGTTAAGGGAGGGGACACTAGTGGGGGGAGGGGGGGACAGGGAACAGGACCCAGGCGTCCTCGGCACCTAGCTCCAATCTTCCCCAGCCCAGAAGCCCGCTTACAGACTGGCTTTCTGCACCCCCGTCTGCAACCCCCACTTCTGCCAGCAGCAAAGGCGCCCGGCTTTGGGCTTTGTTTCTTGCGCCCTCCCTGTACCTCACCCTTTGCTGGGCTCAGGCGGCCGCTAGCCTCGGGAGGGTGGAGAGCGGCTGCACTTTTACCCCAAAGCTCTTTTGCCTGCTTACCCCTCGGTTGCCAGCCGCAGTCTCAAAATTTCGGTGATAAGCAAGACCCTTCCCCACATGATATAAATCTATCTCTCATCTAAAAGCTAGTAGGCTGGGCAAATAAAACCCAAGCCCAAGTCGGATCTGGGAACAAATTATTTTTTTAAAAACACCATTCCCCTCAGCCAAGACCGTCTCTGCCTCTCTCCCTAGAGCTGTGAGGACCCACGTAGAGACCTCTCCCCTCTGGGGGGGGAAAAAAAAAATCTGCATTTGAGGAAAAGCCAAGCTATCCTCATCCCCACCTCCCCCCACTTCCCAAAGGCAGAGAAGGAAAGCCGAGAAGACAAAAAAGAGAATTACCATGGCTGATGTGAAGCTTCCTCATCCAAGGGAATATCTGCGGAGTCTGCCCCTCAGGCGCGGCGGTGGAGGTGGCCATGGGCTCTGGTTGCGCCCGAGCTAAGCTCGGGCTGCTTAGCTGGCTTGCCGCTTCCTCGGGCTCCGAGGACGCGCTGGCCTCGTCTATTTCGGTGAAATTGGCGCTGGAGCTGGCCGGGGTCGTCTGGTCGGAGGGGGACGAAGCAGAGGGCTTGGCGCCGTGGCTGTCGCCGTTGGAGCAGGGCAGGGACTCGGGCGAGGACAGGGAACAGCTCGACGCCGCTTGCCTGAAGCGGGGCTCCTGGGCCGGCGCGGGGAAGGCGCGCGAGCTCTCACCCACCGCCCCAAAGTGGCTGGAGGAGGCCGACGAGCGGTTGACGCTGAGGTCCATCCCATTGTAATTGTAGCCGTAAGAGCCGGTGTGCATGGCAGCGGGATCCCTGTAAGAGCCGCTCAGAGAGCTGCCACTGCCATAATTTAGCAACTGATAGTCCGGGCCATTTGGATAACGCCCCGAGAAGGAGTTTACAAAGTACGAGCTCATTTGGGTGATTTTGGAGGGCTTGATTTGTGGATCGTGGTCGTTATAACCCTGTGCTTCACGATTTATGATGTATTAATGAATTATAGCGATGCACTGTACTTCGTTTTGCTATGTATGCGGCCAAATATGGGGGGGGGGGATTGGAAGGGGGATGGGGGGGTGTTAGGGAATCACGTGCTTTTGTTGACCAGTCGTAAATTCTCGCTGATGACCTCAAGAGGTAATTCATGCTCTATGGTTACAAATAATGACGATCTGAGAATCGTTAGGGCCGATTCAATGCGAGCCTCCGAGAGAGGCGGAAAAAAGGAGAAGGGGGAGAAACCCAGAGAAGATTGGCGGTGGCGGCCTCTGAGCAGAGCGCGCCACCTCCCGGCGATCGGCGGGAGCGCGGGCCACGAACCGCCATGGCGGCGGCTGCCTCCCTCCTGGCTCCCTGCAACCACCTCGAGAAAGAAAACCCTAGCCAAGGCTCACTCGTAGAGGGGAACATTTTAGAGAAGGGTCCTGGTTGAGCTTTTAAACTCACATTCTTAGGGAGAGAAGCTTAGTTTTTCTATCTGATGTCATTTTCCCTGTTCTTTTTTTAAGAAAAAAAAAAAAAAAAACTCTATCAGATGATCAAAGATCAAGCTGCTTTTCCCTTACCCCGGCTTTGCAAATCTCCGAGTTGGGACTGGAAGTTGAAGGCAGGGAGAGGGGGGCACGGGACTGGATGATGTGTGTTAAAAACAATTATTGCAAAGGGCTTAGCCTCGCGTACTTCCTGGAGAGGCTGCAAGGGGCATCCCCAGAACTCAGGGCGGCCTGCAGCGCTGGGCCGAGCTTCCAAGGAGACGCACTTACTTCCCCTTGTCCTTCGGAAGTTTGGAATCTTCTTCCTGACTTCCCCTGTTAACCCTGACCTGGGTAGTGGCAAAGCAGGACCGGGACCTAGGAGCACAGCGAGGGACGGGGTAGGGGTGGGCTCGCTAAGCGGCCTTGTGCCAGAGACACTGTGATGGTAGCAACTGTGTGGCCGCTCGGGTTTGGGTGAAACTATGTGTCTGAGAATTTAGGGTGAAGGTGGGACCCCTTCGCTCCCTGGCCAGATGCCGGTTATTGGCTCCACTTGAGGTCCCTCGATCTGTGGCTGGGCAGTTTCAGAGTTTGTTAGGCGGCCCACAGCCTTTCCGGCAAAAGAGCTCCGAAGACCCGCGGCGCCTTGCTGAGCGCGCTGGGCGGCCAGAGCCCGCTGCAGCTGGGCCCCTTCTGCTGGGCCCGCTATTTTCTTTAAAAATAAAAAGGCAGAGAGAGGAAGGAGGAGGAAAGGAAAACAGTGTCCACAGCTTGTTGCCTGGGTGGGGGTAGGGAGATACTGGCCCGCTTGGGGTTGAAGGGATAAGACCAACTCACCCCATCACCTGGCGTCCTGTCTCCTGGTCTTGGGGAGAACTGGGGAAAGCTTTGTCCTCTGTACTCCCACTCGCTCCATCCCTTATCCCTGTCAGCCAAAAGCTTCAGATTTCCCTACTTGTCCCTGAACTCCTACTGAAGGCGCCTGGAGCCTTCAGCTGCGGGGCCTAGGGATACCCAGTGGCCCCGACTCAGTCTCCAGAGCCACAGGCCTGGAGCAGAAAGCCAAGGCTGCGGAAGGCCGGGCCACGTAGGCCAGGGGTCTCCACGGGTGTGAATGAAGACTGTAAGCGCTGCAGAAGCGCCGGGAACAAACGACCCGGTTTCTGCAGAAGCGCCGGGCCAAGGGGCCTCAGCGGCGTCCCTCGTGCCGTGGGCGAATTAGGAAAAGCTAGAGAATAAGAGGGAATCGGCCCCCCTTCATCTCCCAAGTCTGCACACGAGAGGCCGTTCTGAGCCTCAGCACCGGCGAGGTGCGGCGCTGGAGCCTGGGCGGGACTGCTCCAGCCTTTATCTCAACTGTAACTTCCGAGTCGTGTCCGGCGGGCCCGCTGGGAAGACCTCCGGGCCAACCGGGGCTCCCGCCTTTGCTACCGAGTTTCTGGCACTGGGACGATAGGGTGGCTGCGGGGGGTAGGAAGAAAAAAGTGACAGGGGAGGAGCGGAGGTGACTGAGCAGCGAGTTTTCACGTCTTTATTATTATCATCATTATTAATAATATTAATATTATTACCGAAGTATTTCACGTCCAGAGCTAAGACAAGACTACAAACACAACACATAGAAAATTAATAAAATAGAACTTTGTTTTCTTCTGAGGCTCCTCTTCTTACTTCTAGGTAGTGTGTGCTCCTTCCAGTGGCTTTGGGGAGGGGGGGCAGAGACGACAGGTCTGGGGTCAGCGAGTTTTCGAGGCCCCATGAGGGGACAGCGAATCTACAATTGAACCGTGCACCGGGACATAGACGACATGAGGAGGCGCGACACGGACAAGAGCATTTTGCTCTGCTTCCAGGAAACATCAAGTGAGTCAGGTCCTCAGTTCTCGCGGGGCACCTGATCCGGCCGAGGCTGGCTCCCCGGGGAGGGAGGGGGCGCGGGGGCGGGCTCCGGGATGAGAACTCTGCGGGCGGGGGCGTCCGGAGAGCTCCGGGCCCACCGGGGGCGGCGCGGGGGAGCCAGTCCCCGGGCCCCCCTGCCAGCAGAGCTTCCTCCGGACTCTCCAACACCCCTGGTTCCCTGCAGGCCTCTCCCTTTGCGTCCCCCTCCCTTTCCAAGGCCTTCACTCGGCGGGCTTTTCTTCCTCCTCCTCTGCGCTGAGCTGAGACGCACTGAGCAGTTTGCTCTCCTTTTTCCACTTCATGCGCCGGTTCTGGAACCAGATCTTGATCTGCCTCTCGGTCAGGCACAGGGCGTGCGCGATCTCGATGCGTCGCCGCCGCGTCAGGTAGCGATTGTAGTGAAACTCCTTCTCTAGCTCCAGCGTTTGGTAGCGTGTGTAGGTCTGGCGGCCTCGCCGGCCGCTAGGCCCAAAAGAAGAACCTGTTATGCAGAGAGGAGATGCTGAGGCCTGGGGTCACCGGGCTGAAGCCACTTCCCACCTACCCCCTCCACTCGACTCTCAAACTTGGACTCCAACCTGTCCCGGGATGTCTTCCGCTGCTCTTCCCCTCCCCCTACCCCGCCTCCTGCGTCTCCTTCAGATTCCCTGGGGGCGGGGGTCCCGACCTGAGCCCTCTCAGGCTAGACTTTTGGTGGGGGAGGGGAGGCGCAGTTTAATTCCCACCTGAGCCTGGAGGGAGGGGCTGGGGAGGTGCTGACCAGGTGGGTCTTTCCTTTTCCTCTCTTTACATCCATCTAGCTCTCGCCCCCCCCCCGCCCACCCTGTGATAGATTCCAGCCCTTAATCCGTAATGACGTGGATCGATCCATAGTCGGCATTAACGGCTCCTCACTTTCTTGTCCCGCTAATGGACATCAATTTGAGATTTAGACCGACAAATAATCCCACTTGAAATCCAGGCGCCTGTTTCTCCCTCTTTCCCCCACCACCCTCTCTGGTTTTTCTCCTTCTCCCTCCTTCCTCTGACTACTCCCCTTTCTAGTGCCTCATCTTTCTCCAGTCTCCCATCCCCAGGGAAACCATCCGGGACAGTCTCCACTCTCCCTCACCGGCGTCACACCGCCCCCTCCCATGACGCACTCCGTTTGTAATGGAGCAGTCCTTGGGTGGGGAACTGGCCTTGGATTTGGGGGCCCAATGTAAAGTAAAGCCAGTGACTGTATCCCCGGGTCCCCTTCCCTGACCAGACATCCCCACTCTGACCTGGCGCTCTGGGAGAGCCCACTGCTGCTCCTGGCTTAGAGTCCAGCTGGGACTTTGCAAACTTTCTAACTCCTGAGGGGCGAGAGGGCAGAGCAGGAGACCCGGGGCAGGCGCCCATCTTCCCCACCTCCGAACTGAGATACCCAGTGGCACCCTGTGGGAAAGTGGGGAGACCTCACTAGCTCTGTCCCGGGGGTGGGGGCACTGGACAGGCAATCGTACTCACTGTTGCACGAATTCATCCGCTGCATCCACGGGTAGACCGGTGTGGAGCACTTCTGCTCCTCTGTCTCTCCAAACACGCTCTTGTCCTGCGCACAGTCCGACTTCCGGGGCTCGGGGTGGAACGGAGGCGGCTCATCCGCGCCAGAGAGCGCGCAGGCCGACTCCTTCTCTCGGTAGAAGGCCGGCGCCGGCCCGTAGTCGCAGGGTGCCGCGCGGCCATAGCCGCCGCCGGCCGGCGGGTAATAAGAGGAAGCGGCAAAGCCCTTGTCCTGGCCCGGCCCGGGACCGTAGGGCGCGGGGTAGTGCCTCAGCGGGTCTGCATACCCGGACGAGTAGAGCGGTAGCTGGCCCAGGAAGGACTCCTGCCCGCTGGCCAGAGTGACTGGGAAGGTGGAGTTCACGAAATAGGAACTCATTGGGAGGGGAGGCGCGCGCGGCCGCTGCTGCTCCGCCGGGTTTATGATTTGTTGTGTTTTATAGTCCGAGCGCCGCGCCTATTAGTAGTATATCCGAGATTGGGTTTTAGCTGAGGGGGGATGGCGAGGTGCCAGTGAGGGCCAGAAGGAAATACAACCATCTGATCCAACACTGACCAATGGCAGAGGCAGGAATTGTCAAATCGCACCCAGGAGGAGCGCAGCCCGCACGAGGGACCCGCGCACAAACCTATCAACCTTTTTTTTCCCCTCCTTCTCCTTCCCCCCCCCCCAACAACACAACGCCTCCCGTTCCACCTACGTAGGATCTGAGAAAGAGGCGTCTGTGCCTTTGAGGGAGGAGGGAGCATTTGGATTGAGACCACCCCATCCCCCAGTGATTAAATAAATATATCCCTTCCCCCTCAATTCCCCCCCCCCACCTCCAATACACGCAGGATAGGAAAAAGTTCATTGTGTTTTCAGAAAAGTTAACCCCTGCGTTGCTTGGACCCGTTCCTTCAAAGGAGGACTGGGTAAATGTCCCCAATCTCGTGGAGACCGAGTTAAAGAAGGTTCGTTTCTAGCGTTTGGTGTTGGTGGAAGGTAGAAGAGTTCTAATTAGCGTTGCTTTCAGAAAGACAGAGGTGAAGAAGAAACACGGTCAGTCCCAGGTTTTTTCCTGTTTATCAGATTTACTTTCTCTGCTCCAAGCTCAGATCTATTATTATTCCTGCTTCTCCACAACTCGACTGCTTTGAGGGAGACAGGCCGGAGCTTGCTGCCCAGAAAACTCAGGAGACCGGGAAATAGGAGGTCGGAGCCCAAGCTTCCCTCTGCTGCTAGGCTAGGAGCCTCTTGGATGGCTGCGGGCTGCCGCTGCCCAAGACATCCTGCCTGATTCTAATATGCAGCTGCTCTCATCAAGAAAAAGAGTACTGGGAAAGGGATTTAGTATTCTCCCCACTTGGGGCTATGGAGAGGAGGAGTGAGGTGGCTTTATTAACTGATCTCTATCCTGTCTTCTGGAGTCCTGGTGTGGCGCTGTAGGATAAGCACTGAACCGAAAGATCGGTTTGAGCCTCAAGGGTGGCAGTTCAAACCCATCAGCGGGTCCTCAGAAACCCTATACAGGGTTGAAGCGGAACCAACTCTACAGCAATTAACAACAGCAATGATCCTGCCTTCTAACCTCATTCTGCCACTCACACCTGACTCCAACAACATGAGAATAACTTGGGCTACAGAGATTTAGGTATTAAGAATTCTCTGCTATGTCTGGGTACAGGAAAGAAATAGTTTCTCCTCCAATTCTAGGTCTTCAAACCCTCCAGATATTTGAGGCAATTAGACACTACGAGGAAGACAGTGACCCTTACTCCTTTTCCAGGTCTCTCTAGGAGCTGGAGGGTCTTTTAAAAATGATTTCTTTCCCAAGACTTGGTTTAGGTTTAGTTTTCAAGGAAGGAGAGTTTGAGTTCTCCTGGGGGACTCAGCAGGCAGCCACGAGTATCAGCCAGCATTCCCTCTCCAGACGCTTACAATCCTTCTGGCTGCCTCTCTCTCAGCATCTCTACAGTAGCCTTCCATGCCCTATGTTTGTATCATTGAGTTAGTTAGATTGTATCCCGCAGTTGGATTGTATCACCAGGTCTGTTTGTTTCACCTGGCTTGCTTGTTATCACCAGATTTCCTGCTTTATGAGCTGAGCTTGGATATGAGAGACAGTGTATGTCCCTGATTCCCTTTCTCACCTAAGGAAAATGAGTGCTGCGGCCCGGTGGGGAGCCTGAGCCAAGATGCATTTCCAACATTCTAATTTCCATACAGAGACCAGACAGCCTTCTGACCTGGAGACAGGAAGGGGAGCAAGGTGTGGGGCAAAGTCCATTTGTGGGATAGACCGCCCCTCCACTGCCTTGTTCATTCTTGGGGCTCCTTTTTGTGGATCAACTCTGCTCATCAAAGATAGCACAAGGCACTAGGAAAAAACGGTAGAGGGCTGAGGTTGGGGAGATCAAGAATGGGATATGGTTAACTGCCTCCAGGGTCTCCCTGAACTCAGGGCCTCTTCTAGGCTGCACCTTCATGGCCCAGTGGCCATCTCTGAATTGCCTACCACCACTGGTTAATCTGGCTCTATGGAGTTTTGATGAGGATTTAAGAAACAAAATCAAAATTTCTAATGACGGAGAAGCATTAATGCTCCAATCTAGCTGTGGTTGGACCCACTCCTAGAAAGGAGTAGGGATCATTTGGTCAGGGGAAGCAAGTGAGGGCAAATGTCTGGGTGCACGTCCTTTCTTTTCTGCCACTGAGGCTGGACTCTGGGCCTCAGTCCTGCCTGCTACCTCCCAGGGCACAATAACCCCCAAACTAAAGTTGAACGGTGTGGGTTTCCTTAGGGTCTGGGCAAAATAATATATTATGTGGGATTGGGCCTTCCTTTATGGTATAAGCACAAAATGGTCGCTTTTTGCTAAGAAATTACAGCCCCCAAATTAACCTCACCTCTGTAGGTTGCCTGTCGCGAGATGGAGACGCGAAGGCAGGGCGCCTGGAGTTGGGCATGAAAGGAAATAGCGCCTCATCGCTCTTATCTAAGCCCAGAGGTATTTATGAGCGTTTATTCGTCTGATCCGTTTGTTTGGGAGAAAAAGCAGGCGAGCAGGGCCCGGCCAGAGGCCGCCTGGCTTCTGGAGCCAGATTGTATGAATCTGTCTGTGGTTCGGTCCACCACTGTCTATCTGCGGAGGAATATGTAAATACACAGCGGATTCAGGCAATTTGACTGCCTGGGGAGTCTCTCCCTGCCTCAAAGAGCAAGTGTGTGTCTGGAGAAGTGGATATAAATGTGTACCAAGTCTTGAGTACACTACAGAAGGATTGTATAGACAGGATTTAGAATGGTCATTTTCTGTGCTGCAAGTCCGCGGTCTTCTGGGCGCACACACATTTTAATTCCCAGTGAAATGTCCCCGAAGTTGTGTTGGGCTCAGGAGTAAAATTCCCCTGCACTGGTAAACAAAGTGAAGTGTATTTGCCTGTAAATATAGTGAAGGGAGAATGCAGATACTACTCAGGTTTTCCATTTCCTCTGGGCTACAAAGCTCCCTTCACCCAGGGTCTCTGGGATGTGGGGTCCTTCCCCACCCTAACCTAACTCCTGCTGGGGTGAGAGATTAAAACCTTTCAACTCAATTCTCTTCCCTGGACTCTTGATTCTCTGGTCTTGAGGAACATAAATGTTTCCAGGGGTGGGGGACAGTGTGACCACTCGTAAAGGATGGGGGGACACTCTTTGGTTGGGACACTTTGCCTAAAAATCTGCCCATCCAAAAAGCTGTACAAAGATCTTATTCCATTATGCAAATGAGGGGCATCATCTCTGATCTTCAGGGAGGAGTGGGTGGTGCTCTTCCTAGCCCCTCTCCTCAGGCTCCTGAGCACCCTAAGAACCCTGAAGTGCTTCAAATCTCTGTATCAGCTGACCACCTGTCCTGCCAATTGTCCACAAGAAATCCTCTCAGAGGGTCCCAAGTGGGGCCTCCCACAGGGTGCCTCCTAGGACCTAGCCTTCTAGCTGCCATAAAGTCATTCCTGCCACGGAAAAGCTGCTCCCGCGGCCCAGACTCAAGAGGCAGCCTCAGATGGGGGGGGGGGGGGACGGGGAGGGGACGCGAAGCCGCTGCTCTTGCTCCCAGCCCTGATAGCCCCTCCACCTCAGCAATGCCTCTATCTCTCTGGCCAGACCCTTGTAACCTCGGCCTGCTTGGCACCGCAGGCAATTTCCTGGAGCCCCAGCCCAGAAACCCGGGCCACTGCACCTTGAAAGGAGAGCCAGAGCTTCCTCCTGAGGCTTGAAAGCCAGAGCTAATCAGTAACCCGCGAGACAGGGGCCAATATTAAAACGCGGCAGCAGAGGCGCAGATCCCCCGCCCTGGCCACCCCCTTCTAGAAAATCAGTCAGGTTAAGCGGGCGTGAAGGGTCCAGTAGTAACCGAAATCACAGTGGGTTTGGTTTCTGCCCACTCCAACTCCCCATTCTCCCCCTCCCCTTAAAGTGTATTTGCGTCGATTTAGCTTGAACCGATCTAGAATGGGGGAGGGGTCGAACATTCACTTGCAGACATCAACAATTTCCAGAAAACTCAGTTCCATTCACCAAGGACCCACCAGCCAAGGAACTGGCAAGACCCACCAGCCAACCGGGAGAACACAGACCCGGTTTGTCTTTTGACAACCAAGTGGAACTGCAGGGTCGGCGCCTCCCCTGCCGGTCCCTTCTTCCCTTGGCCGAGAAGAAAACCAAATAAACCTTGAACAGCCTTGACCTCGGATCTCCCCAGAGGCCTGACCCCCTCGCGCGCCCATGGTGGGGATGTCTTGGGACTCTTATCCCCCAATCCTTTGGTTCCAAGCCCCTTGCCCGCGGAGTGTAGTATTAGCCCGTTTTAAATGTGTCCCAGAAAAAGCTGTGTCTCCCGCCCAGTTTCGAGCTGGAATGGGAGTGTGGGGATAGGGATGCGGGGCGCTTGTACTCTAATCCACACTCAGGCGGCCAGAAAGCAAGATGTAGAGGAAAGCGCAGCTCTGGGCCCAAATGCCCCCGACCCCCCTCAATCCCGCCGAACCTGCGCCACCCGGGCTCCACGCGTCGGGCACTCCTGCAGCGCCTCTGCCTAGCGGCGCCAAAGCCGCGTATCTCCACACGGACAGTAGATGGCAGCAAACCGCATAATTTGGGTCAGAGCTAACTGTCTAAGAGAAGATTTATAACCTGCCAAGACTACAGGAGAAAAAGCCCTTTAGTCCGGGTGGGTTTGGCGAATTTTTCCTTTGAGAATATTCCCCGCATGCCGTGGGTGCTAGCCCAGAACTCTCGCTATCCTGCCGAGACAGTCCAGGCCTGTGCGGAGACAGAGAACATCTACCTAGGCCTCCCCGCGCCACAAGTGGCTGCGTCCCACTCTGGACATCTCTGTAATTAGAAGGCCAATACCTCCTCCCCACCACACACAAACCAGCACCCCGCAATCCAGGGGGAACCAAATGCCTGATATTGAGTGGCCTGGGTAAAAGAAGAAAAAAGCAATCACCTATTTGTGCAAACCAAACTAAATCACAGACTCCTGCCCTCTGCACCCATCATCGCTTATCTCTCAGCTAGCAGCTTCTGCAGAAGCCTTCTAAGCACCCCATTTTTTAGTCCACATTTTTAGTAACTCGAGATTTAAGCCTCTTTCCCTCCCATTACCCCATTAACTACTTTAGGAACCCCGGAGCCTCCCCCCACCCCAACTGCCCTTATCCCAGCCTCCCAGGAGGCCTAGCTGAGGAGTGAAATCAGGCGGCCTGAGGGACAGGATTTAGCTATCTGAGCTCAGCGTCAGGCGGCTTTCCAGTCTGGACACCCCTCAGTCCCCTAATTGGGGTTTCTTTCTAAATTGTTTGTTTATAAGCCCCCACCAACAAAACGTTAAACATGTTTCTTCACAATCACCACTTTTAGATGCAGGAAAGTTTGCAAAGAACAATGTTTCCACATCAGACTCATACATGGCATTTTTTTCTTCCACCGAAATCAGCACACCCCCAAACCAGTAAAACACAAGTAATAGAATCAATAACACAGAGAAACCAACATGCTGTAACCTACCGCATTAAAACCACAAAACTGTCTCCCAGCAGAGCGAGGCTCCCTCCTCCGGGATGGTGAGGGACTTGGGCATTCTCTGGCAGCCTTCCTAGCTCTGGGTGCCTCCCCCCAAAGCCCTTCAATTTTAGAAATGTCTCCGAAGGGAGATGGTGAGCACTTCTCTGTGAATTGTCCTTTCTGTGTTTCTTTAGCCTCTGCCTCCTCTCGCCAGCCTCTGCAGAGATTCCTGGCCCTCCAGAGACTAAGACGTCCCTGAGCGCCACCGCCCCTCGTGCCAAAGATGCCGGGAGACCGCCGGGACCCACACTGGGCAAGAGAACAGCGCGGGGGTAATTGAGAGAGGCCAGAACAAGGAAAGAATGGGGGGAGGGGGAAGGCCGGGACCCACGAAGGCCATATCCACTGGCTTCTGTGGGTGCCACTGAAGCCCACATACCCCCATCCTTTCAATCGCGTGCCCCTCGCCTGAACCTCTTCTGCCAGCTTAAAAAGGCGAGTTAGAACTTGCCTCCGTGGTCCCTTTCGGTTCCTCCTCCAGTTTTCCCTGCCTTGGCTCCTCTCCAGAAATCAGCCCACACTCTCTCTGCCACCGAATTTCTTGGGAAGACTCTCCCTGCAGCGCCCAGAGGTGGGGTTCAGCCCTATCTTAAGGGGAGGGAGGAGGGAGTCAAGCCCAAGCCCCACCCCCAACAAAATCGATGCAAAAGCACAAGAGGAGAATTGTAGAAGCTCCCTTACCTTTGCAGACCTTGAGATTTTTTTTCTTCCGCCAGATTGAAAGGGTGGGGAGGGAGAAAAAAAGAGCGTTCGGTTTCTTCTTCAGCTTCCAGATAATATTGTCCCAATCTGAGAGCCGTTGCTTCCCCTTCTCTGACTTGGGAGAGAGGGTGTTTCGCTTTTCTGACATTTGCAATGAAAATGCAGTAAGTTCTGGCGTTGAACAATGGTATCAGTCTGCGGTCCTGGGCAGATTTTCCATCTACACTCCATGTTGACTAAAATCCCAGATCAGCAAGCAAATTAATTTAGGAATTAAAATTATTTTTGGTTCTCTCTTTTGTGTAATTCCCAGCCCTCCTTCCCCCCCTATCTTTCTCTCTCTCTTGTCTCCTCTCCCCCCCTCTCTCCTCTCTCTTTCACTCTATTGAGCTGATAGTGAAGTATAAAAATATCAAGAGGTTGGAGCCCTGAAGGACGACAGTGCTCCGACCTAGGTGTGGTGTCCAAAAGAATGCTGCATTATAACCACCAGGGAAATGATAAAAAGTTCATGTTCACGATCGCCCGGCCACATGACCGGCGCCGGCCAATCGCTGGATTCAACCACTCATAAACTTCTATCACAAAGTTGTAAATTTTCATAAAACAACAAGGAATTTATTGCATTTCTTCATGGTTGCTCCACCAGCAGCCCTTTTCTCAGTCGCCATCTTCTTTTCTTCTCCTGCTCGCTTTTTGGGGAAACCCCAAACTGAGAAGGGGTGAGATTTGGGGTGCTGATAATCAGGGCGGAGGAGCCGCCAGGGACCACTTGGAAAGGGGGTTCTTTTGGATATCTCCTATTTCTCGCAGGAGTTTTGTCTACCTCTCCAAGTAAAATTTCACCCCCAATTCCTCCACCTAGGGACTGTTCTCAGGCCACTTAGGGGTGAGGCGGATGCAGCAGTGAACGTGCAGAGTTGGCATTGGAACTATGGCAAAATAAAAGCTTCAGTGTGCTCGCTCTCCCTCTTAAGGCCCTCTCCTTCTCAGCCCCATAGCTGGTGGGACCCCCACCTCCGAGGATTGCAGCAATGAAGGTGTTAGTACCCTACATTCCCTCGGTCCTGTCTTTGCCTCGGGAAGGAAGGTTGTCCAGGTTGGGGTCATAGCTGATAGATGAGTAACTGCCTCCGCACCTCAGAAATTGGGGTTAGTAAAACCAGATCCTGGCCTCTCCAGCCCAAACCTGTCTATGTTGGCCTAGACCACTTGGGCACGCTCTCCAGGGGTTTATGCGATCTTCAATAGGGGAAACTACAGGTTTAGGGGCCCTTTACTTACAAATTCAAATTAAACAGATTCTCGTAAAAGCCTTTCCCTTCCAACTCTCCTCCCTCTTTCCGTCTCCACCCTGGCTTTCAAGTTTAAATAATCCATATCTTATCATCGAATAAATACTAAAAATCAGTTCTGCAGGTTTAACTGCATTGACGCTGTTTTCCAGGGTTTTTGTCTTGTGACTAGGGGGGTGTTTGGCAGTTAAAAAACAAAACAAAACAAAAAAATCATCCGTGTTTTCCAGATTCCCTGTCATGCCTCTGTATTTGAATTGAGAAGCCAGCTCCCAAATGTAGGAAACTAAATAACACCCCCCCCCCCCGCCCAATTTTCTTTCTTTCTTTTTTCTTTCCCTCTGTGCTCGAGAAAAGGTTCCTGATTGCTGGCGGAGCAGAAAGCGGGCAGACAAGACGCGAAGGAAGCCGGCTTCCCGCCTGAGCTCAAATCGGCCAGGATTCGGCCATACTACCCCGGTAAACTCGCTTAGGCTCTCAATTCTAGGGTTTAAAAATTTTTTTCTTTAATTTAGAAAATTTTAAGTCTAAATTACCTGCGTCCGTTTAGAATGAGACCAGTTAAAATTAACGAAAGTGAAATAAATGGAAATAAAATAACCGAACGTAGCTCTTGCTGAAAATGTTGAACGAGCAGGCAGGAAGCCCGAACGCCCGGGTTTTGGAAACCATTTGGGTTTGTGGGAAGGTCTCTCTGCTCATGGCTTCCCTCTGCCCAGTGCCTCCGTCAGGGAAGTAGGAATGGATTTGGTTCTTCACCTTTTCTTTCTTTTTGCTTTTCCTTTCTACGGGGCCTAGCATTTTGGATTTCAGCTTTTATTTGTGCCCCCGCAGGGGAGGCTGCGGCGCAAAATTCTCAGAACCCACAACTTAGTTTGAAGGTGTGGATGGATGGTAAAGATGATTTGTGGAACTGTGGGATTTTTTGTTTTGTTTAATTTTGTTTTACAAGTGTGTGTGACTGAGTATGTGGGCTCCTGGATGTGTATACTTGGGGGCAAATGTGAATCTTTGTGTTTATGAGCCAATGTGTGAAGAATGTACATTTGTGAGTATGTATAAATGTGCCTGTTTGTTGAGTATGAGTGTGTGTTTACTTGCGAGTGTCTGTGAGTGTGAAAGGAAAAGTATGCGTTCCTGGGAATGGATCTGGAATTGTGTGGATGATTTATACTTGTTTGTGATGTATATATATGTTATTGTGAAGTGCCGTGGAGTGGAGTCAGTTCCTACCCATAGCGACCCCATATAGGGTTTCTGAGGAGCCGCTGGTGAGATTGAACCACTGACCTTGTAGTTCAAATGGCTTTGCTGCATTAACCCACAGCGTCACATCAGGACACTCTGTGTGTGTGTGTGTGTGTATATATATATATATATATATATAGTGTTTACTTGGGACCTTATGTGAAGGTGACTCAATGGATGACATTTAACAATGGCCCCTAAATAAGTATAATTGTGTACATTTGTCTGAGTCAAATCCTGTAAAAAGGTATAAATGGATCTTGTGTGATATTAGGATTCACTTGTTAGCAGTCACCAAAGCAAGGAACGTCAGGAAAGAGAGCACACCCCAGCACCAAAAGAAATGGGTGGGTGCCAGAAGTCTGAGCAGAGGGATCATTGCTAACCCAGATGACTCTCCCCCAACCTTAGGGAAACAGAAAATAGGACATCTGTTTATTTTAATTGTTTTATTTTTTCCATCCTTCAGATACAGGGATAACGTAGAGGCGCACAGAGGCTGACAGAAGCAGGGCGCAGCAGGCAGGCGCACAGTGGGGACATGGGAGCTACTGGATCGTCCTTAGGACTCGCTAAGGCCTTTCGGTGGCTGCCGCCACAGGAAAGGCGAAGGCTCAAGAGGGCGGAAAACCACACAAGTTAGTCCGGACTCACAGTCCACAAAAACAGAGTCTAAGGGGGCTTACAAAACAAGATTTTACAAAGACTTTACAATAGCCACATAGAAAAGGGAGGCAAATTCCAGAAAGCTAAAGAACAGGTAGATAGTGTGTCCTTTGCATGTTACAAAAACAAACCCAACGAACTTTCCTATAGGTAGTATTTTTTTTTTCAGTGTTAAGAAACCAACAATTTTCCTCATTCTCTCTCCTCTAAACATTAAAAAAAAAAAAAAAAAAACTGCTTTCCATTTAAATAGGGGTTTCCCCTCCCATTGATTTGAGTTTCCTGGTTCAGTTCCCAGAGTTGGACTTCTTCCTTCTCCCTCTCTCCTTTTCCCTTCTTTTTCTACTTTTTCTCTGTCCCTCACTCTTCCTCTTCCTCTTCCACTTCGGCCTTGTCTTGACCCGTGACGCCAGGGCTGGCGGTCTTGTTCTCTTTTTTCCACTTCATGCGCCGGTTCTGGAACCAAATTTTGATCTGTCTTTCAGTGAGGCAGAGCGCGTGCGCGATCTCGATTCGCCGCCGCCGCGTCAGATAGCGGTTGTAGTGGAACTCCTTCTCCAGCTCCAGGGTCTGGTAGCGGGTGTAGGTCTGGCGGCCTCGTTTGCGGTCGGTCCCTGCACACAATATTTAGAGGAGAAAAATAAATGAATGTGGATAATGCCAGGAGAATGTCCATTGCCACCTAAAACCTTGTGTGTGATTTTTGAAGGTGGAAGAAGTCCATTTTCCCACAGAAACCAAATTCTTGCTTTCCACACCAACCTGTATCAGTCTTTTCCCCTTAATACTGCAGGCCTTTCCAGGTTTACCAGGACAAACACTCCCATTTTCAATCCAGAAGTTTTCCAGCCTGGGCTCCTGAACCCAAGAAAATCTAACATACTGGCTCTTGAAGGTTCTGATTCCTAAGGATGTATGCACCCTATGAAATCAGAGACTCCAAACCTCCCTCTTTGGATGCTGGCTCTAGTGGTCATTGGGGTATGAGGCAAATAGGCACTATGCAAGTGTCCCTGAAGCAGGGCTTGGCCTGGGTGCATTTCCCAAGAAAACAAAGGAATATCATAGGCCCACTCTCTCTCATAATAACTCCCAGCCAGTTGTGGAAAGAGGAGGAAATCAGAGTTTGCAAATTTCCTTGGAACTTGGAGTTGTTCTAGGAGCAGCTGCCTTCTGATCACTGTGGTTGAGATTCAGACAAGGCGAGTGTCCTGCCAGCCCACTTACTAGACAGCCGGGCTTTCCAAAGCAATCTTCTCTTCAGGCTTCCAGGAAGGACAAGGGGAGAGGAGCAACAGCAACTTGGGTTGGGGTGGAACTTGAAGTATCTGGGTGGTAAGGGCCAAAAGTCAGAAAGGAGCTGCCCAGTTAGGCCCAGAACCCTGAGGAGGCTTGGGAGGCTTTGCGAGGAAGGAAGTATTGGTATTAGCTCTCCTAGGAAGGAGACTGCAGAGTAGGAACTAGGGGCCCTCATTTTAGTCAGGTAAAAGCCTATTTGAACTGTTTACAGTGTTTAAGAGCAGAAAAATGGGGGCTTTGATAAATCAACTGAAAAGGCAGTTGGATTCCAGAGCAGGTCATTGAAGCCATGAACAGCAATACTGATAGATAGCTCCTTCACGAGAGAGCTGCGCCTGGTTGGTTGGGAGGCCCCGATCTTGGGCCTCCTGAACCCTGGGGCTGGTCCTTGAGTCCAACTAGGGCAGTGTTAAGAAGAATGTCTGAGCCAGGCTTGACCAGAAACCCCCACGGAGCCCCTGGCCTCTTAGGCTTTCTGCAGTAGCAGACCTTCTAAGTCCTGATTTGGCTCCGTAGAGTCAGTCTCCTTAAGCAGGAGTCTCACACTTCTGTAATAGCACCTCCAAACTTGTTGTCTAGTTCTCCAGGGGTGCGACTAGGAATCCTGGCAGTCAGCACCTGAGGAAGTCAACTATACTTCCACCAGCTTCGGATCCTTCCTCTAATTCCTCCAAGTTCACTGGGGGGTCAGGGGCCATGGTCCCCCTCCCTCCCTCCACCTGTCTCTTTTTTGCTTAGTGTCCCTAGCTGGGTTTTCATCTCCTCTCTGAACCCCCTCCTCACATCAGGCCTCTAGGGCCCACCTCTAATTGTCCTGATGGGAATAATGGGGGAGCGGGGTTGGCTGGGAAGGAAGGGGGAGGGGAGTTTTGCTCAGTGCTTCGGGCCCCCTCCCCCAGATCTTCTTCAAGCTGAGGCTGGGGGACACTCCCAGAGCTGAGATCCCTGGCGGGGATGGGGGGGGGGCATGGAGGGAGGACCCTAATGGCTATTCTCTGCAAACCCCAGCCTTCCTCCAAAAGACAAACGGTTTCTCTCGTCTCCAGCCCTTGCCGGCGCGGCTGATAAATATTTAAAGCTAAAAGGCCGGGAGGAAGGGTGAGGGGCGGGCCAGGGGCTCGGAGCGCTGCGGCGTCGGCGGAGAGATCGCCGGGAAGCAGAGCTAGCCGGAGAGCGCCGAGCAAAACCGGGGTGGAGGCGGCGCTCCGGGTCGCAGCTGAGGGGTGCTGCGTCTCCATGGCCCGCCTCCGACCCCAGGATATCTGGATATCTGGCGGGCCAGGGGGAGCTCTCAGGGGAATGTTCCCGGCCGCTGCGGCTCGGGACGGCGTTACCTGAGCTTCGCATCCAAGGGTAGATCCGGAAGTTACTCTCGGCCGCCAAGTCCGAGTCCCTCTGCTCCTTGGCGCCCGGCGCCTTGGCGGAGTCTCCAGGACACACCCCGGAGAGGTTCTGCTCAAAGGGCGCGCAGTGCATGTTGAAGGAACTCGGCTCGAGCCCATAGCCAGCCGCGTAGACGCCGGCTGCGCTCTGGCCCGCCATGCCCCCCCCGCCCGGGTACAAGCCCTGCATCGAGGCAGCGAAGGAAGTCGCCGCAGCCGCTCCATAGCCCGGGCGCTGGGGGTTGGAAGCAAACGCACAAGAAGTTTGTTCGGGGAAAGCTCCGGTAGCGAAAACCGAACTTGCGGCTGGATATTTAGAAAATAAAGCATTCGCATAATACAATGAACTCATAATTTGGCCGGATGATTTGTAGGCAGGGACGTTTTAGTGTCGGTTTTACGAGATTCCTTGATATATTACAGAATTAGAGTCCAGATTTACACCAAAAAGGACCCCCTTTTTCCTCTCTGGTCCACGTGACCTCCGCCCACGTGACGTCCCCTCCTCCAATGACCAGGCAGCCACCCCACGGCTCCTGGTAATGTGGAAAAAATTGTGTGCCGCTGGATTTATAAAATATGATCAATAATGAATGGAGAAGCCGAGCCCTGTGGATTAAGGCTGGGGGCTCAAGGGCCGCTGTCGACCCCCGCGGGCTAGAGGCAGCTTGCAGGCGAGATTTGGGGAGGAAGGAATTGAGTGGAAGGGAAAATAAATAACCTCGGTGCGATCCGTGTTGTCACCCGCTCCCCCCACCCAAGCCATGGCCTCCCTACTCTGTTACCGAGCGAAAGACAAACGCAGAAATTGAATACACGCAACTGCAACTGGAGACAGGGCAGGGCAGCTGTTTATTAATCCAATTCATGCCGACTGGGCCTTGGGGGGGGGCACTTGGTCTGGTTCCCCCAAGGTGAGGGACGAGTGAGCCTGGTCTTCGGCTCACTGTTGGAATCCCAGATATAAGGGCAGGGATGGACCCAGACTTTGCGGTCCACGCTGACTTCGGTACTCTCAGAGACATGGAATCCAGCCCACGGGCGTGGAAAACTGTTTTTGGTGGCTAAAAAAAAAAAAAAACAGAATTGAAAATAAAAAAGGAAGGGTATGGGGTGGGTGGGAAGAGAAAGGAAGAGAGAAGGGCGGCCCCGGGCCTGCTGCTCTCTTGGTTCCGGGAGGCGGATGCCTGTGTCGCTGAGCGGGGTTGCCTGAGAAGCAGAGACTGCAAAGGAAGGAAGGCGGCATGTCCAAGCCAGTCTTGGAACTGGGCGAAGGAGGCCGAGTCCCAGAAAAGTCCCTCTTCTTGCTCCCCCCATCAGAGTTCGTGGGGGGGAAATAAAAACATAAGCGAGTTCAAGAGCCCTACACTCCACCTATATCACTTACCCCCACCCCCCCACCCCGCACCAAGCACACGCAGGACAGAGCACACACCGAAACAAAGGGGGAGGTAACGGGACATAGCCCGGGCACCGCTCTCCAGCGCGGCCTGGGCGCCCGAGTCTCTCGGGCCTAGCGGCCTCGTAAAACAAGAGGAGGGGGTTTCTCTTGGCTCCCCTCCCTCGTTTCTCTCTCCTCCAATCACGAGCAGCCGCCTCCCTCACCCTTTGAGCCCCTGGGCCCAGGGACTCGCACCACCTGCCTCCAGCCCCCGCCCCCTCCTCTCTGCGGCCTGGCCTCCGCCGGCGCAAGGAACCGGGGGACCGGCTCCCCCCACCTCTACAAGGCGCTGGGGAGCAAATGAGGCAGTGCAGGCCGGGCCAGTCTCGGGTTCTTGCTTGTAAACTTTATTGTAACTCTTCCGCCCTTTTCAGGCGCAGACAACAGGACAAAGTATAGAGGAACAACAAAATATATAATTAGCCCCCCTCCCCCCATAAAGCAATTCACGGATACAGGATACATTCTCTTCACAGTAAACCTAAGAACACTTTTAACAATTGCCCACAGCGCGCATGCTAACTAAAGTAACCTCTTTTGAGAAACACTTAAGACGAAATTGTCAAACCAAAGGCGGGGGGCGGGAGAGAAGCAGAGAGAGAAAGCCAGCGAGCTGGGGAATGCAGCGGGGAGAGAAGGGTTGGGAGGGGAAATGAGGATGCAGCGAGAAAGAGAAAGAGAGAGAGAGAAAGAGGGAGACAGAAAGAATTATGGCGTGAATAGGCAGTTTCATGTTGTTGGGAGAACTTAGCAGAAATCAGTACCTCGGTCATTACAAAGAAGCACGTTCAAAGGAAAAAGACCATTGCACAAGGAAGCTTTTTACACGGGACAGGGGCATGGGGGGAGGTTCAGCCGGGCCACGGCCGCTCATCCTCGCTGGGCGAGGGAGTCCTTGCTTCAAATCCTTTTCTTTTCCCCCGGCCCCAAGAGAAGGGAAGGAGATCCACGGTAGCTCACACACAGAAGCTATTACGAGATACTACCACTAGCGGGGACTGGCGCGGCGGGGGACGCTGCAGTGGGAGGCCCGGCTCCCGGCCCCGCTCGCAGGGCCAGAGCGCTCTCGGGCGGGGGGCGGGCGGCGGCGGCGAGGTATGGGAACCCGCGGACCGGCGGGCGGCCGCGGCCCTGGCAGTCCCAGGCTGAAGCCTACTTCTTGTCTCCCTTCTGCGCGTCGCCCTCATCCGCTGCCTCCGGGGCCCGCTCCAGCTTCTGTTTCTCCAGCTCCTCCTGCTCGCATTTGCTGCTGGGGAACTTGTCTTTGTTGTTCTCTTTTTTCCACTTCATCCTCCGGTTCTGGAACCAGATTTTGACCTGTCTCTCTGTCAGTCCCAGCGCATGCGATACCTCGATCCTCCGCTTGCGAGTCAGATATGGATTAAATAGAAACTCCTTCTCCAGCTCCAGAGTCTGGTAGCGGCTGTAGGTCTGTCGGCCTCGCCTGCGTCCGGCGGCTGCTGGCAATGGGGGAAAGGGCGAGACAGAGGGGAGGGGAGGGGAGGGTGGGGGAGGGAGCAGAGACGAAGAAGGTTGGAAAATTCGTGAACCAGCCTAGGAGACCAGTATAATAAGGGCAGGGGATCTTCTACCCCGCTCAGAGGCGGGGGTGCTGGGAGGCCGCGGTCAGCGAAGGGGAGGGGTGAGGGGGGTCAGACACCACTGAATCTAAGGGAGGCAGAAAAAGGGGAGCCACCTTTCCTGCTAACCAGTACCAGAGAGTTAGGGGTGGTAGTGGTTCAAATCTATGAAAAGTGCCATAAACTTTAGAGGGAAGGATGGGGGGGGGGAGAATAAAAAACCGGGTGGGGACTAATGGACCCACCTTGAAAAGCCCCCAGAGCCTCTGCCCCAGAAGAAAAGTTTCTTCAGGGTAATTAAACTATAAAGCAATTGAGAAGTGCAAAAGTTGAGCGCCCCCACTCCCACCACCCTCTCGCCACAACCCCCCATAAAACAGTAAAAGGGAAAAAAAGGAGGGGAAGAAGAAGAAAAGTAAGGCGGGGTGAGGGGTTTATGGATTCAGGAAATGTCGCTTAGCGACTCCCCCTTCAAGGGAAACAAGAAAAGAGAAAGAATGAAAGAAAGAAAGGGAGGAAGCTGGAGGCGATCGGAAAGGAGCTGGTTCGGCTCCTGTTAGCTGGTAGAAATGTCCCTGGCCTGCCCGGCCCCCTGCCCAGCCTTGGGCCCTCACGCCCCCCTCCCGCTCGGCCGGCCCTGCCGCCCGCTCACCTTGAGGGCGCATCCAGGGAAAGAGCTGTGTGGGCGATGGGCTCTGCTCTGAGCCCTCGGCCTCCTCGCCCAGGCCGCTGGCGGCGGCGAGCTTGCAGTCGGCATATTGCACCAGGTCTGGGTCCTGCGCACCGAACAGGCTCTGGCGCTGCAGCGGGTCGTAGCCGTAGAAGTTGCCCGGGTCCCCGTGACACGCCACGGCGCACGGGTTCTGCTGGTAGGGAGCCGTGGACAGCGACGACGGCCCGTGGTAGAACTCCTGGATTTGCGACGGGTGCTGGAAGCTGCCGCCGCTGCTGGGACCGTACACCACGGTGGGTCGGCCGCCCAGGTCCTGGGCGAAGCCGCAGTCATAATAATTGGGGCGCAGGGACTCCCCGGTTTTGTATTTGGAGAACAGTGAGTTGACGAAATAAGAGCTCATTTTATTGAATTTTGAGGCGGCGGCGGCGGCGGTGGCGGCTGTAGTTGGGGGCTGTTGGGGAGGGGGTGGGGAGGGGGAAAGGGAGGGAGAGAGAGAAAAAAACGCGGATTCGCCGGCTCCTAGTCACCCTCGCCAGCAAAGGAGAGGGAAAGGGAGGAGGAAAAAAAAGAAAAGAAAGAAAAGGCGAAGAAGATCTGGAAGCCGCCACACTTTTTGTGATTTCCAGGAATAGAAAAGGACAGAGAAGCCTCCAAAAGTCTAAGCTTGCATGGCAACCGAGGCTAACTCGCCCTCCCCCCACCCCCCACCCCCCAAACAAAAATATACCGCCACTTAAAGAGGTCCTCGCTTTACATTTCGAAGAAGGGATGCCAGTTCATAAACAGTTTTCGGTGATTTACTTCCCTGCAAATGAGTTGTTTCATATTTTGCACTGTCTTTTCATGATCATTTGCATCCATTAGAGACCCCGCATCCTATTGGCTTCTCCGTACTCCTCCCGGACAGAACGCAGAGCGAGGGTGAGAGCGAGAGAGAGCTTAGAGAGGGAGCGAGAGAGAGAGCTAGAGCGAGAGAGCGCCAGGGAGTGAGGAGCGGAAAAAAGATTAAAAGTCAAAGGTTCTCTCATGTAAACTATCATATAATTCAATATAAAAAAAAAAAAAAAAGGAGGGGAAGAAAAAAACACCCAGGGAGGGGGAGAGGGGGAGAAGAGGGGGAGAGAGAGAATGAATACGGATTAAATCTGTTTAACTACCTACATTAATGAGATATCTCTCTCCTCACAACAAATCAAATACCTTCGCAGACCACCCCCAAAGACTGATGTGGGGGAGTCATGGAAAAGAACACGCACACACAGACACACACACACATACACAACGTGTCAGGCGTAGGCACGCTGTTAATTTCGCGATTTTAACGAGGCAGTTGGAGTCTTTCTAAATGTCAGGGTCGCTTCGGAAAAATGTAAAAGAACACGGTTTAATTGCGCCGAGTTTTAAAAGGTCCTATAAATGTAATTGGTATTTTAATACAAGTTATCAAATCATACAGCTTCCTCTCCTAAACATATTTTCAAACAAACGAGGTAGTCATATTTAAAGCTTTAATGATCAATTTCCTTATTATTGATAAAGGTTTAACTATCGTGCAGAGGGAATTGACTGGGTAACCGGCCCCCCAAAAAACGGCTGTAAACTCTTTAACAAACTATAAAACGCAATAAAGCCAGAGTCTGTTGTTGTTTATGCCGCAGCGCATAAAAGCTGTTAGCATTTTACGAGTTCTTTCCTCTACAGCTATAAAACTGCAGCTTCGATCGCCCCGCCGCCTGACTGCAGCACGGTGGGGGTGAC